CCCAGAGAGGCTGTGGAGTCTCCTTCTCTGGAGACATTCCAACCCCCCTGGATCCTGTGTGATGTGCTCTGGGTGCCCCTGGGTTGGGCTGGGGGAGCTTTCCAGGTCCCTTCCCACCCCTGGGATCCTGTGATGCTCTGATCTGTATATTTCACCCCGAGTCGCCAGCTCTGTGACCCCCCTTATCTCTCCCCCACCCCCAGACCAGCAGCGACCACTTCCTGACGGAGAAGACCCTGAGCGCACCCCCGGCGGGCCGGGGGGGTTCGGTGCTGAGCGTGGACGTGACCTACGAGCCCTGCCAGCCTGGGAAAACCAAAGCCACCCTGCAGCTCTCCTCCCCTCTCGGGGGCGACTACCTCATCCCCCTGTCGGGCCTAGCGCTGCCCCCCAAACCACAAGGCCCCTTCGCCGTCAAGGCGGGCGGCAGCGTCACCATCCCTTTCAAGAACGTCTTCCTCCAGACCACCCCTTTCCTCTACGCCCTGGGGGACCCCGCTTTTTCCGTCAGGGCCCCCGAAACCCTGCGGGCCAAGAAGACCACCTACATGACGGTGTCTTTCGAAGGCGGGGAGACCCCCCTGAGCACCAAGCTGCTGGTGTTCAGCCCCGCGGTCCCCGGCGTCTCCTGGGTCTATTATCTGAGGGGGCTGCCCCCCCAGAAGTGACATTCCCGGCTGGAATTGCGGCCCCCACACCCCTGGTTAATGCATTTTGCTTCCCCCCTGACGGCTGAGAGGTGGTTAATTCGTGAGGGGGTGCGGAGGGGGTGTTTGTGAGGAGCTGGTGCTGAGGGGCTCTGGGGTGTCAGGGCTCTGGGGTGTGAGAGATCTGGGGTGTCAGGGGTCCTGAGATGTCAGGGGTCCTGGGGTGTGAGGGCTCTGGGGTGTGAGGGCTCTGGGGTGTGAGGGATCTGGGGTGTGAGGGATCTGGGGTGTCGGGGGCTCTGGGGTGTCAGGAGTTTGGGGGTGTCAGGGGCTCTGTGGTGTGAGTGATCTGGGGGTGTCAGGGCTCTGGGGTGTCAGGGGCTCTGGGGTGTCGGGGGTTCGGGCTCTAGGGTGTGAGGAGCTGGATGCTGAAGGGCTCTAGGGTGTGAGGAGCTGGATGCTGAAGGGCTCTAGGGTGTGAGGAGCTGGATGCTGAAGGGCTCTAGGGTGTGAGGAGCTGGATGCTGAAGGGCTCTAGGGTGTGAGGAGCTGGATGCTGAAGGGCTCTAGGGTGTGAGGAGCTGGATGCTGAAGGGCTCTAGGGTGTGAGGAGCTGGATGCTGAAGGGCTCTAGGGTGTGAGGAGCTGGATGCTGAAGGGCTCTAGGGTGTGAGGAGCTGGATGCTGAAGGGCTCTAGGGTGTGAGGAGCTGGATGCTGAAGGGCTCTAGGGTGTGAGGAGCTGGATGCTGAAGGGCTCTAGGGTGTGAGGAGCTGGATGCTGAAGGGCTCTAGGGTGTGAGGAGCTGGATGCTGAAGGGCTCTAGGGTGTGAGGAGCTGGATGCTGAAGGGCTCTAGGGTGTGAGGAGCTGGATGCTGAAGGGCTCTAGGGTGTGAGGAGCTGGATGCTGAAGGGCTCTAGGGTGTGAGGAGCTGGATGCTGAAGGGCTCTAGGGTGTGAGGAGCTGGATGCTGAAGGGCTCTAGGGTGTGAGGAGCTGGATGCTGAAGGGCTCTAGGGTGTGAGGAGCTGGATGCTGAAGGGCTCTAGGGTGTGAGGAGCTGGATGCTGAAGGGCTCTAGGGTGTGAGGAGCTGGATGCTGAAGGGCTCTAGGGTGTGAGGAGCTGGATGCTGAAGGGCTCTAGGGTGTGAGGAGCTGGATGCTGAAGGGCTCTAGGGTGTGAGGAGCTGGATGCTGAAGGGCTCTAGGGTGTGAGGAGCTGGATGCTGAAGGGCTCTAGGGTGTGAGGAGCTGGATGCTGAAGGGCTCTAGGGTGTGAGGAGCTGGATGCTGAAGGGCTCTAGGGTGTGAGGAGCTGGATGCTGAAGGGCTCTAGGGTGTGAGGAGCTGGATGCTGAAGGGCTCTAGGGTGTGAGGAGCTGGATGCTGAAGGGCTCTAGGGTGTGAGGAGCTGGATGCTGAAGGGCTCTAGGGTGTGAGGAGCTGGATGCTGAAGGGCTCTAGGGTGTGAGGAGCTGGATGCTGAAGGGCTCTAGGGTGTGAGGAGCTGGATGCTGAAGGGCTCTAGGGTGTGAGGAGCTGGATGCTGAAGGGCTCTAGGGTGTGAGGAGCTGGATGCTGAAGGGCTCTAGGGTGTGAGGAGCTGGATGCTGAAGGGCTCTAGGGTGTGAGGAGCTGGATGCTGAAGGGCTCTAGGGTGTGAGGAGCTGGATGCTGAAGGGCTCTAGGGTGTGAGGAGCTGGATGCTGAAGGGCTCTAGGGTGTGAGGAGCTGGATGCTGAAGGGCTCTAGGGTGTGAGGAGCTGGATGCTGAAGGGCTCTAGGGTGTGAGGAGCTGGATGCTGAAGGGCTCTAGGGTGTGAGGAGCTGGATGCTGAAGGGCTCTAGGGTGTGAGGAGCTGGATGCTGAAGGGCTCTAGGGTGTGAGGAGCTGGATGCTGAAGGGCTCTAGGGTGTGAGGAGCTGGATGCTGAAGGGCTCTAGGGTGTGAGGAGCTGGATGCTGAAGGGCTCTAGGGTGTGAGGAGCTGGATGCTGAAGGGCTCTAGGGTGTGAGGAGCTGGATGCTGAAGGGCTCTAGGGTGTGAGGAGCTGGATGCTGAAGGGCTCTAGGGTGTGAGGAGCTGGATGCTGAAGGGCTCTAGGGTGTGAGGAGCTGGATGCTGAGGGGTTCAGGGGTGTGAGGGGTTCTGGGCTGTGAGGAGCTGGTGCTGGATGCTGAGGGGTTCTGCGGTGTGAGGAGCTGGATGCTGAGGGGTTTTGGGCTGTGAGGAGCTGGATGCTGAGGGATTCAGGGGTGTGAGGGGTTCTGGGCTGTGAGGAGCTGGTGCTGGATGCTGAGGGGTTCTGCGGTGTGAGGAGCTGGATGCTGAGGGGTTTTGGGCTGTGAGGAGCTGGATGCTGAGGGGTTCAGGGGTGTGAGGGGTTCTGGGCTGTGAGGAGCTGGTGCTGGATGCTGAGGGGTTCTGCGGTGTGAGGAGCTGGATGCTGAGGGGTTTTGGGCTGTGAGGAGCTGGATGCTGAGGGATTCAGGGGTGTGAGGGGTTCTGGGCTGTGAGGAGCTGGTGCTGGATGCTGAGGGGTTCTGCGGTGTGAGGAGCTGGATGCTGAGGGGTTTTGGGCTGTGAGGAGCTGGATGCTGAGGGGTTCAGGGGTGTGAGGGGTTCTGGGCTGTGAGGAGCTGGTGCTGGATGCTGAGGGGTTCTGCGGTGTGAGGAGCTGGATGCTGAGGGGTTTTGGGCTGTGAGGAGCTGGATGCTGAGGGATTCAGGGGTGTGAGGGGTTCTGGGCTGTGAGGAGCTGGTGCTGGATGCTGAGGGGTTCTGCGGTGTGAGGAGCTTGTGTCCTTGTCCATGCAAGGGGGGTTGGAGGATTTTTAAGGTCCCTTCCAGCCCAAACCAGTCTGGGGTTCCATGTGGTGCTCTGTGGTGCTCTGATCCCTGACTTTTCCTGGGAAGGGCTGTGACCTCCCCAGGAGCTGCCTATTTGCTCAGCTCATGGAGGACAGTCCCCATGTCCTCTCAGGGGACATCCTAGCCAGAGGGTGGGTTTTGGGTGGGAGATGGGGCTGTGGGGAGCCTGGGATGGGAGGTGGCTTGGGGATGGAGCTGCTCTGCTCAGGCTTGGAGAGGGGACATGGGAGAGGGATGGGAGATGGGAACCATGTGTCTCCAAGATGGAGGGTGTTCCTGGGCAGCAGAGAAAAATGGTTACCATGGGATGGGGTGTTTGTTTGGGTACAAAGCCAACCCATCCAGCCCCTTCTCCTGCTCAACATCTTAATGTTTTGTTGATTTTTCTCTCTTCTTTGTGGGAAGAGTTTCTGAAGGGGGTTTCTGGTGGGTTCTCTGCACTGTCCTCACCATTCCAGCCATGGCTTCTGTGTTGGGATCGTGCTCCTTATCCCAGCAGCTCTACTCAGCTTCTTCTGCCCCAGGGTTAGAGCTTTGTGCTTCGTTGATACCAACCAAAGGCTGATTTTGGGATCAGCCAGTTCAGCTGATTGAGCTGGAAGCCCAATTTGGGAAGGATATGAGGGGGAGGAGGGTGGGGGCCACCAAGCCTGTCTGGGATGCTGGGATTTAGATCAGAAGACCCACGACAGCAGCACCAGCAGCATCTCTCCCATGTCTGGGGCATCAAGGAGGGTCTTGTTACCCCTCAGCTCAGGGACCTCCAGGTCCTCTAGCCAGTGAGGTGGGAGCAGCTCCTGCAGCCTCTCCCAGGCTGCATGTGGCTTTTCCCTGCCTTTGGCCTCCATCTCCAGCCCTTTGATCTCCTGAGGGAAGCCTGTAGAGTTATTCCTGATCAAACAAAGCTCTGTTCATTACATCCAGACAGCCAAAGGATCATCCCGTGGGTCTCTGTGCTGCTGGTGCTCCTCGTGTTCCCACCTGCTGAGACTGGGATGGGACTGGAACAGACTGGACTTCCCCTAAAGCAGCGGGTGGTGGGAATGGGTTGGGAAAAATGGTCTCTGAGCTCCTCGTGTTCCCTCCTGCTGGGACTGGGATGGGACTGGAGCAGACTGGACTTCCCCTAAAGCAGCAGGTGGTGGGAATGGGTTGGGAAAAATGGTCTCCTGAGTGGAGAGAGCAAAGTGGGGGGAGCTGTGTGGTGCCCCCAGGGAAAACTGCTTTGCTCAGAGCAGGCTGAGAACAGTGTTAATTCCTTTTTTTGGGGAAAAAAAGTTCTCAAAAGAGCCGTTTTGGTTATAAATGGTTGTAAAAGAACCACTTGGGATGATCAAGTGGAGGGACTGGGCAAGGTGAGAGTCAGGGGAGTGCCAAAAACCCTCTGCTGTGGGAACGTGGGCACCTTCCTCAGGGATTAAGGGAGATTCCGTGGTGGTTGGGACCACGTTGTGGGAAAAAGTCGAAAGGAAAATTGGGGGATGGGGAGGGAAAAAAGGGAAGTGCTGCATTGGCCGGGAATCGAACCCGGGCCTCCCGCGTGGCAGGCGAGAATTCTACCACTGAACCACCAATGCTGCAGCTGCTCACACATCTGGCTGCAGCGGCACATCTGGCTGCAGCTGCACTGCAGGGGGAGCTGGGGCTGTAGGGCTGTCCCGGGTCTTGGAGGCAGCTGCGTGGGCTTGGAAAGGAGCTGCAGGTCTCCTGAAGATCCCTGGGAAGGAGCAGAGGGTTCCCCAGGAGCAGCAACATTTGGAGACCTGGTCTGCTCTGCATTTAATCACAAGCTCATTAAGTTTGCAAGAGACCCCTGAGATCCAACCATCAACCCGACCAAACCACCTCCTGAAGTGCCACATCCACACGTTAACACCTCCAGGGATGGTGGCTCCACCACTGCCCTGGGCAGCCTGTTCCAAAGCTTGACAAGCTTTTCAGTGAAGAAATGGTTCTTAAAATCCAATCTAAACCTCCCCTGGCACGACTTGAGGCTGTTTCCCCTTGTCCTAAGGGTTTGAACCTGAAGGTTTGAGGCTTATGCTGTGTGAGAACACATGGGATAGATGGAATATCTGTGGAAGTGATGTGTGGGGAGCTGGAAACAGCCAAAATTTGGCCCTGGCTGTGGGTCTCATGTGTGCTGAGGGGTTCTCTGCTGCTGGTTGATGCTGTGCTAGGGTTGAAGGGTCCTTGCAACTTTATCTCCTTGGAGAAGGTGCTCTGAAGCCCTGGTGACTTCTCTGCAGGAGCTCAGCCCTGGTGAGCTGGTTTTGAGAGTCCCTCCTGGGCTGGGAGGGTTCAGGAATGGTGTAGGAGGCTGGGAGGAAGCAGGAGGGCAGCTCTGGGGTGTAAGCAGGAGGAGGGGAGAGCTCTGGTTTCCTTTGTGGGTTCCTCATTTTGGTACCTCTTTCCTCTGGGGTTTCTCATGGCCAAAACAAGTCCCTATTTCTGACAGTCATGGAGAGCTGAGCTCCCCAGCGTGTGTGTCGGGGCAGAACCTGAAGCCTCACCCCCCCAGAGTGCTTTTCTCTTCTCTCCCCAGGCTGGTGAGAGAGTTTGTGGCTCAGAACAACACCTCCCAGATCAAGCATGTCATCCAGATCCTGTCCCAGGAGTTTGCCCTGTCCCAGCACCCCCACAGCCGCAAGGGGGGGCTCATCGGCCTGGCTGCTTGTTCCATCGCCCTGGGCAAGGTGGGTCTGGGGAGGGGGTTCTTTGGGCTTCTGAGGGCTGTGGTGGGAGAGCAGCAGCTCCTCCTGGGGCAGGGAGATGGGGACACTCGGGGCTGGTGTCCCTATCTTTCTGATCCCACCCTGCCTTGCAGCATGTGGCTGGGTGGTGGTTGAGTTCCCCCCAGTCCCACCCAGCCAAGTTGTGGTGGCTCTTTCTGGCCTGGGTCACATCTTGGCAGCTCCCTGGGTGTGATTTGGGGGCATCTGTCCCATCCTCTGTCTCCAGGAGCTGGACCAGACTCGAGTACTGATGTGAGTTAATAAAGCTGAGAAGATGTCCAGCCCTTCCATCTCCCCCTGTGACTCTGGAGGTGTTAGGTTGATGTTGAGGTGTTAAGTTGGCTGATTTCTGGCCCAAGGAAGGTCTTTCTCTAGAACTTCCCTCTTGTTAACGAGAACAAGCTAAGCAAGTTGCCTCCAGGGCTGTGCCAGAGCATCCAGGTCCCTGTGGAGGGAAGCACAGACACTGCAGCTTCCTGGGGCTTTGGAGTCAAAGCATGTGGCTGGTTTTTGAAGGTGCCTCCAAGGGAAGGAGGAGTTTTGGGCTGTAGGGAAGTGGACATGAAGGAAAGCAGAGGGCTTGGGAAGAGCAGGCTGTGCTTGGTGCAGGAGCCTCGAGGCAGGTTTGAATTAATTGATTCCCCTTCTAACAAGAGGCACAACCAGTCTGAGTGGTTGCTTTGAGGTCTGGTGGCTTTTACACTCCACACTGGTGGCCAGGGGGCTACTGGGCAGTGCTCCTGCTTTTGTCCTCTTGTGGAGAGGCAGGGTCTCCTTGCAGAGCCCTCCTGGGGTGGGCAGAGCCACCTCATCCCCTTTCCCCTTCTGCATGGCATGGGGATAGGCTGGCTGTGCTGGCTGGCAGGGCTGCTGGTGGAGCTGGGGGTGGAGGACTTACTTTGGGGTGGCCTTGAGGGACACTGGGACAACTCAGGGTTCAGCTCTTTCATCTGCTGGTTTGCCTGTTGTTGATTTTCCTCCAGTGCCTGAAGGGGCTCCAGGAAAGCTAGAGAGGGACTTTTCACCAGAGAGGGCAGTGAAAGGACAAGGGGTGATGGTTTTAAACTGGAAAAGGGGAGATTTAGGTTGGACATGAGGAGGAAATTCTTGCCTGTGTGAGAGTGGTGAGACACTTGCCCAGGGAAGCTGTGGCTGCCCCATCCCTGGCAGTGTTGAAGGGCAGGTTGGATGGGGCTTGGAGCAGCCTGGGCTGGTGGGAGGTGTCCCTGCCCATGCGGGGGGTTGGATCTAGGTGATCATTGAGGTCCTTCACCATTCTATGATTCTGTGATTTTCTTACCATCTCCCTTACTAGCCACTGGGCAAGTGCCAGCCTGTTTCTCCAAATTAGGAGTTCTTAACTTCAGAACAAGCCAACCTCCACCTCTGGGTTTGTCTGAAGTTCCTGCTGTGCCAGTGTCTCCTTAAGCAATTCTTCTGGGTTGGGGAGCAGCCTCATCCGTGACTGTATTTGCTGTGGGCAGAGGCAAGTCCAGCCTAGAGTGGCTTTTCCCTGGTGCAGGAGGACAAACTTCAGCCTGTAAAATGACTCTTCCCTGGAGATCAGAGCCCTGCAGTCACTGCATCTGAGATGTGTCCAGTGTGACTCCACCAGCTGTGGTAGCTCCTTTTCTGTAAACAGCCTGAGGCTTCTTCTGGTAGTTGGGATCACAGCTGAGCTGATGTTTCTGGAGACAAGAAGGCAGGAAGTTGCTGTGGGGACTGCTGGTTGCCTTGCATTTCTGGAGCCTGGATCTCCATTTCTCCTGTGCTGCCAGCTGCATGACCAAGAGCAGCCCAACACACCAAGGGGTTTCTTTGCTTAACTGAAAGTGCAGGTGAGCTTGGTCTATTGTTGTCTGGGATGTTCTCCCTGGTCCTGGAAACCTCGTTGGGTTTAGGCAGCAGCTGGTGGAGTGGGATAAATCCCAGCTAGCTGGTGAGCATGGGCTCTGCTGGGCATCTGCAGGGCAGAGGGAGGCAGGGAGGGACTTCTCCATGGGCCAGTCTCCAGCAGAGATGAATCATAGAATCCCAGACTGGTTTGGGTTGGAAGGACCTTCAAGATCATCTAGATCCAACCCCTGCATGGGCAGGGACACCTCCCACCAGCCCAGGTTGCTCCAAGCCCCATCCAACCTGCCCTTCAACACTGCCAGGGATGGGGCAGCCACAGCTTCCCTGGGCAACCTGGGCCAGGCTCTCAAGCAAGAATCAGCCCTTCTTGCTTTGAAAAGCCCTCAAGTGCTTGAGGAACTGCTCAAACTTCTTGCACACCTCTGGGAGCTGGAACCAGCTACAGCAATCACTTCAGGCTCCTGGTGTAGACTCCTTGAAGCATTTCCTCAGCTTGCTCAGCTGGCTGCCACTGTACCTGGGTAATGAGATTCCATAATTCTGAGCATGAAATTCAAAATCCATGAGTAGGGGCAAAGGGCACAAGCTGAAGCATAGGAGGTTCAACCTAAACATGAGAAAAGCTTTGCTGTGAGGGTGAGAGCCCTGGGACAGGCTGCCCAGGGAGTCTGTGGAATCTCCTTCTCTGGAGACATTCCAACCCCACCTGGATGTGTCCCTGTGGGATCTTCTCTGGGTGACCCTGCTCGGGCAGGGGGGTTGGGGCAGGTGATCTCCAGAGGTCCCTCCCAACCCCCACCACTCTGCGAAGAAATCCCACCTAGACGAGGCGCACTAAGCCATCACATACCTGGATTTTTACAATATATTCCAGGGCAGCACCATCTTCTTCCTTTTCCCTGTGGCATGATCCTCAAGTAACCAGTGTCCTCCTGCCCCCCAGGACTCTGGGCTGTACCTGAAGGAGCTGATTGAGCCCGTCCTGACGTGCTTCAACGACGCCGACAGCCGCTTGCGCTACTACGCCTGCGAGGCCCTCTACAACATCGTCAAGGTGGCCAGGGGCTCTGTCCTCCCACACTTCAATGTGCTCTTTGATGGCCTCAGCAAGGTGAGAAATCTCCTCTCAACACCCACCAAGTTCTGCTTCACAGCCTGGAGAAGTAAGGCTTGTCTCCTAGTCCTCACCTTCTCCGGGTCAAATAGAGACCAAGGGTTTCTTTCCAACCTGCTCTGCAGGAAGAGGTTATAGTTTGGTAGCTCTTAGACTACATCCTTTTTTTGCCAAAGCTTTTTAGATCCATCTAGGAGCAGCCACGTTAGCCCCACCAGAGCTGCAGCCCTTGGTGCTGTTGTAGATCACCCCATTTTTTTTGCCATGGGTTGTTTTGGATCTGAACCCAGAAATCCCTTTTCTTTCTTTCCACGTGAGCTGCTTCACTTTGAGCCAGGCAGGTCTGCAGGAGCAGTTTCTGCAATAACACAGTGGCCACTGATGCTGTGGGTGCTGGAGATGACTTTTAAGGTACCTTTTCTCACCTCCAGCATGTGTTCTCCTGCTCCTCATGAGGTGGCAGTAGGAAATGAGGTTGAGCCAGGCGAGGTGGCTCCACAGCACCACGGCTTTGTGGGGTCTGTAGGCTCAAGACCATGTCTATCTGTGCAGCTTATCATTGGAAGCTTGTGTTTCTCTGCTGCTTCAGAGCATGGGGAAAGCCTGCCCAGCTGTGGGAGGTGATGGGTGTTTGATACCCCAGCCTTGGGAAGTCTCTCAGGACAATTTGTTGGAGCCTAATGAGGAGCTGGAGATAAAGGGGTTCTCTGTGTCCATCCTCGTAGTGCTAGAGGAGAGCAGCAGTCCCATGAGCCTGCTCTGCTGCAGAGCAGGGAGCAGAGCTGGGACCCACTGCTGCACTGGCTCTTGTCTCTGTTCTTCACAGTTGGCTGCTGATCCTGACCCCAATGTCAAAAGTGGTTCTGAGCTCCTCGATCGGCTTCTCAAGGTACTTTCCCTCAGGGACCTTGGTGCAGGCAGGGGATGTGTTGATCCTCAAGGTTACAGCTGCTGAAACTATCCCAGCTCAGTCCTGGGGTTGCTCTCAAAGCATTTGTTTCTCTCACTGACCACAGTTTGATCAAGGGGCTGGTGCTGAGCTCTAAGGGCCTGGGGAAGAGAAGTTTTAGTCTGAGCAGGGTTGCAGCCCCAGGCAGCAGAAGGGCAGTTCCTCTGCTTTTCAGAGAATCACATGATTGTTTTGCTTGGAAAAGACCTTTAAGATCATCAAGTCCAACCCTTCCCCCAGCCCTGCCAAGGCCACCACTAACCCATGTCCCTCAGCTCCACATCTACAGAGCTTTGAAACACCTCCAGGGATGGGGACACCACCTGCCCTGGGCAGCCTGGGCCTGACAACCCTTTTAGGGGAAGAAATTGCTCCCAAGATCCAACCTAAACCTCTCCTGGGCAACTTGAGGCCATTTCCTCTTGTCCCATCACTTGTTCCTTGGGAGCAGAGATCAAACCCCCTGGCTCCAACCTCAGGCATATGCAGAGCCAGCAGGTCTCCCCTCACCTCCTTGTCTCCAGGCTGGACACCCCCAGCTCCCTCAGCTGCTCCTGCTCACACTTGTGCTCCAGCCCCTTTCCCAGCTCAGTTGCAGAGCCAGCCCTCAAGTGACAGAGAGTGACAAAGTCTCCCCTTCCCTAAGCACTCAGGGCTGGGAGTGGAGGCTGCTCTGCTGCCGGTGGGAGGGTTCTCACTTCCCATCCCTGCTCTGCCGTGGGGCTTTTGCTTGCATGTACACTTCAGTTCCCTTTCTGCAGCTCAGTGCCTGCCTGCCTGCCAGGTCCTGCCCCCACCCCTGCTAGCTCAGCCTGGTTCCAGAGGCTCAGCCATGCAGGGAGACCCACCAGGAGTGTAGGAAGGGCCTGAAGAGGAAGCCAGGGTGACTCTCCATCCCTTGACGCCCCCGGTTACATCACAGCTGCTTGCTCATGTGTGCAACACACCACTGAGCCATGAATCCCAAGTGCTCCCAACCTTCCTCCTGCTCAGCTGAGCTGGCTTAGACCTTCTTGTCCAGGTCCTGCTCCATTAGTCCCTGCTTCCCCTTGGGCAGGGGAATTCCTGGCTCCTTGCCTGACCAAACCCCATGATTGCTCATCCCCAGCTCTCCCAGCCCCGTGGGAGCCCCGTGCTCCAACTAAGCTCTTTCCTGTCATGTGCCTTAAAACAAAAAAAAGGCTGGGTGGGGGTGGCAGGGTGAGACAGGAGGGGGTGGTGGATTGTCCCTTCTGACACCCTCTGCTTGGGCTCTGCAGGACATTGTGACAGAGAGCAACCAGTTTGACCTGGTGGGCTTCATCCCGCTGCTGCGCGAGAGGATTTACTCCAACAACCAGTACGCCCGCCAGTTCAACATCTCCTGGGTGGGTACCCACAGCCCTGCCCACCCACCCCTGCCAGCTCCTGAACACCAGCACCCACCAGCACCCCTGGCTGGGCAAACAGCAGATGGGGGAA